TTTTTAATATGTTATATTTCATTTATATTATGAGAATGTCACAATGCAAAAAAAAATTAAATGTTTTTTACCCAATTCAAATTTGATATTATACTTGTTATTTTTATTAATTAATTTGTATACATTTATTATATATATATAAATCTTCTTCATTATAAGATTTCATATTATAATATAATTATAATGTTTTGATGTGTTGTTTGTCCTTTTCTTTATAGTAATACGTATTGTCACAATATCTAAAAATCTTAATAATGCTAAAAATAAACGTAATTTCCTTTTTATACAAATTATATGTTTTGTTTTGTTTTCTTTGGATTTGGGCATGGGACATTATCTGGGCATTTCTTAGCGAGATTCAGAGGTCACTTGAGATGGGTGGAGGTCTTGTTGAAAATGTGTTTTTCATATTTGATTCCCCATTTTCAGCGCAGAGTCTCTATTCTCTTCCGCTGTCCTCCTTTCTTCTTGCTCTCGTCTCGTTTTGATGTCACAGTCGAATCACCAGAGACCGTTTATGAAGGCTTCTCATATTTCATAGTTCTGTGATTTTTGTGTTGGATATCTCTGGTATGTTTTGTATTTCATATGAACAGGAATAAACCAAACCAGAAGCATGACCTCATTAAAGGAGCGCTGGATGAAGGTTATGGTCAACTTCCTGTTCGAACCGTCATATCAGTATGCAGTATTCACAAACAGACCTATCTTTTCCTTTCTCACCATTCCTTTGGCGTTCGTCTCTTTTAGTACTCTCTTCGGTTTCTCCCTCGTGATCTCTCTCTTTCCCGCTCTCTCATTCTTTACCTTCACTTTTTGGCCCAGTTTTCTCGTTCTTTTCTGCCTCATTTCCTTTGTGTTCAGAAACGGTTCAGTTTGGACCTCCACCCTTTTTCTCCTGCTTTTTCTCTCTCTCTCTTTCTCCCCCCGTCGCCCCTTTCTCTAGTTCTCCCACTCACTTTTTCACATTTCCTCTCACCATCACTCATCCCAACTCTCCAAGTTTCCCTCTCTTTCCTTCCACCCCCATTCCCCTTGTCTTTTTTTCTCCTTCACTTTTTGCAGAACTCATTTGAACCTTCAGTTGAAGTCTTCAGTGTGACCCCCGACCAGATTCGGCCTTGTGGACAGTGACAGAACCTGGTGACTGGTGTCTCTCTTGCACCTCATCCACTCCTACAACTACACGCCAGGAGTCTGTAGTGCTTTCTTGTACTTTTAACTTCTGCATTTCTTTCTGTCTTCCAGTAAACCCCCTGGCATTTCCAGGCTGCAAGATCTCGCATGTTTCCTCAAGCGTTGTTTTGCTTTTCTTTCCGTCGTCTCCATCCTTTCTTTTTCTTTCTGTGAAACCGCAGTCCTGTGCTCGCCGCAGCACAGGAAAAATAAAAGCCACTCTCTTCTCTTTCCCATCTCGGAGAGCTGCTCCTTCTGCCAGCTCCATTAGAGAGTGAGATTCCTGAGTCTCCACAGGGATCTTTCCAGGACCAGCTCTGCAGGAATGCTGGACTCATATTCCCCCTACACATACTCGCACACACACAGTCAAGACGTATACCGACACCATAGCCTGCGATTGTAACATGGTCAGCTCACAATAATTAGGTCTTTTGGGCCTAATTAAAGGTGATGTGTTACATTTTCAAAGTTACACAACTTCTATTCCAACATAAGATGTAGAGACAAGTATAAGTCATTTTTCAGTTGATTTCCCTGAAAAGTCCAACACAGTGGCGCTTTTTATTTGAGCATTCTGACCAGCACAACACGGCAACAGTCACGTGAATCTGTTTGTGTAACCAATGGTATTATACTTGCAGTTCTGTCTTGTGATGCTAGAGATCAAACTTCAGCTTTAAGAATGGCAAAAAAAGGGTTTAGAAAATTCACTATAAAAAAAAACTCCTTAAAGAAAAACGGTAACACTTTACGATAAGGTTAAATTAGTTAAAGGGGTCATATGATGCTATTTTAAAAGCTCATTATTTTGTTTATTGGGTGTAATAGAATAGGTTAACATTTACTTTAATGTTCAAAAAAACATTCTTTTCATATACTGTACATTATAGCAGTACCTCGTTTACCAGTCTGTCTGAAACACTCTGATTTCTACAAAGCCCCTCCTTTCAAAAAGCCCCGAGTGATCTGATTGGCCAGCTGACCCAGTGCGTTGTGATTGGCCAAACACCTTAATCACAATATCGGATAAATTATGTGGTTCAGATAACAAAATATTTTGAGTTTCTGTTGATTAAACCAATCTCCTTCATTTTATTACCTTTTTTTTTTTTCATTTCAATGAACTTAAATTTGAAGACAACCAGGTTACTTACTACTTAAAGTTAAACCAACAATATTTTTTTTATATTGTTAAAATATATGATTGTTAAAAATGTATTTGTGTACTCTACCATTCAAACATTTGATTTTGCTAAATAAAATGTTTCAAAGCAACACTAAGTAAGATTTTTTACCTTAAAATAATGTTTCCAAAATCGTTTCAGTGGTTCATTAAGTCGTAACAGGGTGAAAGGCACTTCTGGATTCGCTTTGCGGTCCTATATCTGCTATAACCGCACTATGTAAGATCGCCAGATCGGGTCGCGTTTCTGTAGTTCTAATGAGACTTAAGAAAACTACAAATTTGACTTGATTTACGTCAAGCGTTACAATAGTCATTATTTTGTTTTTCTTTGTTTCTGATGTCGCAATACATCATACTTTCATGAAATCATGCAACATACTCTACCTTGTCTGTGGACATCGTTCATTCCAAATCCGGTGCTGGATAAACCGCAAGCGTGCGTGCGACAGTAGGATGCGCTAGGATAAATTATTTACGACAGCGGTAATGGACAATTCCGCTTCCAACCTGTAGGGCGACCGCAGAGGAAAAGTTACTTGGTGTTGCTTTAATGTTTTTGTAATAAGTCTCTTAAGCTCACCGACGCTGCATTTATTTGTTTGAAAATACCGTAAAAACAGCAATATTGTGAAATATTATTACAATGTAAAATAACTGTTTTCTATTTCAATATCTTTTAAAATGTAATTTATTCCTATGATCAAAGCTGAATTTTCAGCATCATTACTTCAGTGTCACACGATCCTTCAGAAATCATTCTAATATGATGATTTGATGCTCAAGAAACATTTGTCATTATCAATGTTGAAAACAGTTGTGCTGCTTCATATATTTGTGGAAACTGATCATTTTTTTCCTGATGAATAGAAAGTTAAAAAGAATAGCTTTTATTTAAATTAGAAATCTTTTGCATTATAAATTATAAATGTCCTTAACCTAGATTAATAAATGCTGTAAAAGAAGTGCGAATTGTTTGTTTGTGATAACAAGTACATTAGCTAGTTAACAAATTGATCCTTAATGTAAAGTGTTACCAGAAAAATCTCAAAGCAAGAGTAATCGCTTTTAAGGTTAAAAGGAAAAATTCTTGATATTTCGTTCACAATCATGTTTTTTTCTTAAGAATCCTTTTGTGTTTTTTTTTTGTTCTTCAGATTCTTGTGTAAATCAGCAGGGTTTGGTATTCATTTGTGGCCCGTCTAAAGAAAAATCGTTTTTGTGTTCTTTTCAGTCCTGTTGATGTGATCTGGCCATTTGTGTTCATTTCGCTTTCATTTTCCCAAAACAAAACACACTCGCAGGCAATTGTAAACATATGCAGCAGAGCAGTTTATGGGAGATTGTTGTTGATTCCATTAGCTGAACTGGCAGAGCTGTGAGCAGTGACCTATGGGAGTCTGTTCTGACAGCTCGGGTTATGTCTAATGTGTTACAGGAGACAGCCACCGGCGGTGCCCACTCAACAGCCACACTGAGACGCACATGCCCACCTGCGAGAGCGCCAACAAGATCAGCTTAAAGTTTCATTAAGAAGACTTCACAAAGATTCACATCTTAGACACAGAGGAAAACCATCAAAACAGATTCTGGTTTAAGCAAAACTCATCTCCAGATGGTCTTTTTGCAGTGTGCTGTCATGCTGCAGAGGTTTGTTCCTGTTCTGTACATATGTTTGCAATGTGAGTTTCATTCAGTTCTTTAACAGGCTTAAATAAAAACACTTTTGGACTTTGTAAATACTGCGTGCTTAAGAAGTCCAACACTCTCCTGTAGTTAGTGGACTTTACTAAAGCCAGCATCACTGTTGTTATTATTATTGCTCATCATGACTAGGGTTAGTGAACCGACCCCTAAGCCAACGTTTAAAACTTGAGTGTGTCATTTCTGACACCATTTGTGTTAGAGACATGATTTGTATCTCAAAACCACCCACAATAACCGTGCCGCTCTCGTTTTCTTCAAAAATGTGAAAAAACATACAAACATTAGTTTAGTCTAGTTTAGAAAATTCTAACTTACAAGTTCCCATAGATTTTGCACAGAATGCTTTAATTTGGCAACTTTATTGCAATGTCACACAGACTATATATAAGCTTGTATTCTGTCAGTTATAAATGATACTTACGAAAAGCCAACAAAGGCTTATTACTGGATATTCTTTCAGTTGAACACTGGCAGACATGTTTTGCTGACTGCTGCTGTGCTGTTCCAGATGAGCAAATGAACGTTGCAGCAAAGCATGGGACTGATAGAGGACTGACATCTAGTGGTCAATAGTTTGTCCACAACAGTTTCAACAATTGTAAATGGATTTGCTATTGCCTCCATTCAAATAAATCAATACAGTAAATTTCAATACAGTGTTTTAAAATTATAGCATTTTTAAAACAATTTATACATTGTATTTTATTAACAATTTGGCAATATATTATACTGTTAATAAAAACCTCCCTTCTCTCATATATACAGTTTGACTGAATATCACAAAACATGTCTGGATCAAACACCAAAATGATATAATTTTGCTTAAAAAAAGTAAGATTTCTAAATCTATTTATAGGATCATTACGATTTTTTATCCTAAAAATGAGCTTCATCTCCTGGCAAAACATACATAAAATAAATCCTATAAGTGTGCATAGGAATAAATAGAAGAACACTGCTATAGCTTGCAAATCGTGTTTTAATGCAACATTTCATTCATGCGATCTTCACCAGGCACCAAAACAATGACCGATGAAAGTCGCATGACCGAAACGTTGCATTAAAATACGATTTGCGAGCTATAGCAGCGTGCGGGAATTAGCTATTTGTGTTAGACTTTAAGTAAAACATAAATTCATATTTGATTTTTCTTTTCAAGTCGGTGCTAAATGTGACCTGGATATGTTTTAATGAGGTTCACTCATTTAATAGTTACGTTTTATATTGGCAAAATGAGATGTAGTTTCTCAGTAACAGTTCTTTTTCATCCCTGAGCTTAAAGGGACAGTTCACCCACAAACAAACATTCTGTCATTATTTACTCACCCTCATGTCAAAACCTGTGTGACTTTTCTTCTGTGGAACATAAAAGATACTCAAAATATCTTGTTTTGCGTTCTACAGAAGAAAGTCATACAGATTTGGATCGACAAGAGTAAACGAGTTCATATTGGGATAAAATATCCCTTTAATCAAAGTGCAAAAGACTCTCAAAAGCATTTAAAACAGTGTTAAAATCCTGTAGGCAGTTTCAATTCAGGAATCGGGACAAGTCCTCTCTGATCTCTGCCTCGTCCCAAGGACCGTGGATATTGTCCTTGTGCCTCTGCAGGAGGACTAATAACAGTGGACAGAGTAACGTTAATGTTAACAGTGCCAGAGAGAGAAGAAGTGCCCCCTCGGGCCACAGGCTCCCCATACCCCCGACTCCAGCCAGACACACCAGCACCGCTGCCCACGGGAAGCTCCACTCCGCCTTGTCCCGCATGCGGTGCAGCAGGCAGGGCCAGAGAGCGAACACCAGGAGGGCACAGCTCAGCATGGTGAAGGTATGCAGGGCGCCAGGCAGCCGGGACGCCAGGCACACCGACCCGAAAAGAGCCGCGTTGAGGGAAAGACTGCCCGGCGGACTGGGCTGAGCATATGGAAAAGACACCAGGTGAGCCAGGAGCATTACGGCTGACATGGCGTACACCGTATCTGTACTAACAGACTCGGTCAGAGTCTTTAAAACGGGTGAGAACCCAAAGGTAAATGCCAGGAAGATGGTGGCGCTCTGCAGGTCGGCCAGTCGCGTGCGCTCCCGAACACAAGCGCCTCCCAGGATCTCGTAGAGGCCGTAGCCCAGCAGAGCACAGCCCAGACAGACCCACAACACCAGGGATGGCTCCAGGTCTCCCTGCTCCATGTAAGACCATAATGTGAGGAAGACAGCCACGCAGGACACCTGCTGTGCGATGAGCCCCGTCTCACGCACTACTGCCCAGTAACGGTACTGACGGACTCGGATGTTGCGCCGCAGCTCCTCCAGAAAACGCCGGTCCACGTAATTGTCTGGGAAAGGCTGGCGTTCATACAGCACTTTACGCCACGGGACTGCAGGAGCTCCGGGACCGCTGTCTGCCCCCATCACCTGTCAAAACGGACCATACACAACCCCTCGTCACTACATACTGTACATCTTATCAGGGTAAAGAGAGTGAGGCACTATATTTATTGGACTTAAAGCTGTTGTCTGATCAATATGAAAACATATTCTATACTACATATATATGATACATCACTACTATACAAGTTTTTTCAAATAAAAAACAGGCCTTATCATTGTTAAACACGTTGTTTTAATATATATTTAAGACTTTGCAATATATTTAAGGCATTAAAATAATACTAAAATATGTAAGAGCAATTTATAAGAATAAAGATAAAAAACAAATCAAACTTGAGAAGAGTTACATATTGCAAGTAATTTAGAGCTTTTAGGAATTGCTTTTTCAGCTGCTTTAATGACTGAAATAAACTTTTCAAATCATTTTTAAATGCCACAAACAACTTTAAGAAATCAACATTTTTGTAAATAAAACGTACGTATTTATAAATCAAAAAATAAATTAGGTATTAAAGTATTATTGCCTACTGTGACATCATATTATTATTACACACACAAAATCAACCTCTTTGTTCGGCTCTAGACTTTTTTAAAGACTTTATCTAAATAAATACCTAAATATATAAAAGCAAATTATAACAAATACTATTTTAGCGTTTTTAGGCATTCCTTTTTATCAGCTTCTTTAAGGATTGAAATAAATGTTCAAATAATTTTTAAATGCCACAAAACCTGGAACAACGCTAACAAATCTCCAACTGAGTAAATAAAACGGACTACAATCAAAATATTATTAACGTTACACAAAAATTCAACCTTTGTTCGTCTTTACTCTGCGTGAGAGTAACAGCTTCTCACGTCAATCTGAATCTTATCAACAACAGATTCAACTTACAGTCATCTTACAACAGCTAACGCTAGTATGTAATTCATAGCGAACATATACTTGATCAAATGAAAATAATTGTAATATCTTACAGAATCAGCAGGATTTTCTTGACCCACTACTGTCTACTCTATGGTCATGCCATCGCACACCCGGAAGTGACGAACCACAAAAACAAAAGACCGCTGGTAGTGTTGGCTGAAGAGCGCCACCTGCAGGCCTCGTTTACTTACATCCTCCAACTGTCTTCTCAACGCGTGGGTGGGATACTGGGATTTTAACGTAAGAGTTAGTGAAAGGATGTTTGGTTTTATTCATTCTCACTTGTAATCAGTGTGAAATGGCCAGTCGTCCAATCACACAGAACAAATGAACTTTTAGAGCATTTATTTATCACGAGATGATCATTGTATTTGGGGTCCTTATCATCAAAAGTTTGAAAACCCTTGAATCAGGCGGTTGCGGGGAAAGAGAATTCATATTTATCATATTTTGTTTTAATGTTAACAATACGTAAAAAAAAACTGTTATAATGTAAATAAATCGTCTTGCTAATATTTAAATAATAGAGCCTTTAAATAGGCCCTAATACATGTTCAAAATACTTTATACTGCACTGCCATTTATAGCAGACTCGCTGTAGACTATTTCGGTGAGTTTAAATGGGTTATTAATATAACACAATACATTAGTATAATTTAATTAAAATATAAAAACGTATAAAAAAACGTACCTGGACGTTTAAGTAAGTAAGTGACAGGTGCATTTACTCCAAAACCATGCCTTTTCTCACAATATAACCTTACAATAACATCAGGCTATGACAATCAAAATGTTTTCAGATAGTGTTATTTGAAAAAAAAAAGAAAAAAAGGGATAGTTTCGTTTAGTTAAAGGATAGCTGAAAATTGGCAGCTTTGCAGCTCTAAAAGCAGCCAGCAGGTGGCGAAATATGTTTCGAAATTCATTACAGAAAGTCGAACAGGTTCTGCGAACCCGACGCTCAAAATCCCAGTAGCACCTCAATGCAGTACATAAGATCCACAGGGAGGAGTCGGATCAAGATCCGAGGGGTGGAGATGGGTAGGATTAGGGGTGGGTTTAGGGATTAGGGGTGTGTTTAGGGATCAGGGGGCGGAGATGGGTAGGTTTAGGTATATGTAAGGTGGGAGGAGTTGGATCTGGATCCGACTCCTCCCCGTGGATTTCATGTTCTGCAGTGAGGACCATCTCCAAAATCAAGCATGTTTCCGTCAAACATAAATTCACATAATTAATTAGGCCGTTTTATTCAACCAGGAACTATACATGTTGAACTTGTCAGTAGATAAACTAAAAACCATGCAACTATGATAACCGCAGAAATTAAGCACAGAAGAAAGTTTAATTCAAGCAAAAGAGGAGCAGTAAACTTCATTTATTAGTACTCTGTGAGAGCAAATCCCCACAGGATCAGTGACTCTCAGCGGAAGATGGCTGCTGTCGTCGTGTCGTAACGACACAAAAATAGCTCAAGCGTCACTCGACAAGTGTTCCTGCACTGAGACACAATAGCCATTCAAACTGTTTTAAATCAAGCACATTCACCAAGGAAGAGAAACTTTATACCATTTTCGAGAAAAAAAGATAGTCATATCGTGTAACCACGAACGTATTTTCGAATACACGCGATTGCACACCCATAAAAGTTAAAAAGTGTGTTTTTAAGGTAAAAATTATTTTATTTTACAATTATCATCAACTATTCATAAATATCATTAAGGTTTAAAGAGCGTCACCACGTGACATTTCACAACCTGAACTAACGTTATAAAAAGGTCATATTATCAAATATTCTTGACCTTGACATACAGTCACGAGTCTGTAGTCCTCTCAATGACATCATTTGTTTTATGTTTTTCTTTCTTTCTGCAAATTGGTCACATGACATGATTTGTTGGAAAATCTTTATATATATATATATATATATATGTATTTTTTTCGGTGAATAAATTTTTTTAAATATATTTTTTTTCTAAAAAAACGATTATGAAAAACTACTTAAAGGGTTAGTTTACACAACAATTGTAATTATCTCATCATTTACACACCCTCAAGTGTTTCCAAACCTGTATGAATTGCTTTCTTCTGCTGAACACAAAAGAAGATATTTTGAAGAATGTCCGTAACCACACAGTTGATGGACCCCATTAACTTCCATAGTATTATTTTCCTACTATGGAAGTCAATAGCTACCGTCAACTGTCTGGTTACCGACATTCTTCAAAATATCTTCTTTTGTTTTCAACAATTTGAGAACTGTGGAACAATTTGAGGGTGAGCAAATGATGACAATTAAAATTTTTGGGTGAACTATCTCTTTAAGGTTTTCTTTTCGAGAATTTCATTCTTTTAATGTGCCCTTTTTCTTCATTATGACATCAGGACAGTTTTTTTTTTCACTTTGACAAAAAAAAATTAAATAACAAGAATAAAAGAAGAGGTGTATTCAAGCCGTTGTATGAATTTCATTTTTAATGTATATTGCAATAAATTAATGGACCTGGACAAAAAAAATAGCGCCATTAAAATGTGTTAATAAGAAGAAGGTCACCGCATCGGTGTATTGGGTGTGTCTAAATTCACATGATTATCAGTGACAGATGGGTAAAGCAAACATGGGCATGGGTGTGCCCATTGGTAACATATGAAAAAGCTTTTAAAACAGTCAGACATTAATACGGCTCATGAACGCTTTACAATGGTTTAATTTCAAAATACTAAGCTAGTTTTTTACAAAAATATGAAACCTGCTGCATATCAGTGTATCTTATCAGTGCCTGGAAGATTTCAGTATACTACCCGTGATACAGTGAAATATAAAACATGGTGTCATACAAAAACACAAAACTTAGTTCTCGGATAGTCTAAGAACACATTTTGAAACCTTAAAACATCATGAAGTCATGTTCCTGGTTAGATCCGTCACATAGCAGCAGTTTAGAGATCGACTTCAATCTCTCATTTTATCGGCGGTGTCAAGCAGAAAATGATTGTCTTCATCGCAACAAGGCAAGAGGGATAAAAGAGTGGAGGAGGAGAGACTCCAGCAATATCATCAGTCCAAGGACACTTTGATGAGACGAAACGGAGGATGGAGATTAATATTAAGGGATGGGGGAGAGAGAGAGAGAGAGAGAGGGAGAGGTGCGTCTGTGTGTTTTCCAGTCAGTAGCAGCAGCAGAGGAGGCTATGTGTTTATTTTCCTCTTGTCATTGAAGAGGCTGCGCAGCAAGTAGACCTGTATGCCAGATACAATCACCATGAGGAAAAGGCTGGTGCACGACCACATGTTGACTCGATCGTAGTTGCTCTCTTGAAGGTTTCGGTCACGGGCTTCAAATGCTCTCAGCAATGTCTGGATCTGAAGACTCTTTCCCAGTCGAGATCTCACGCTGTTGATGGTGTCCTGCACACAAAGACACGCTCAAAATGAAAATCTTAAATAACATACACTAACCTTCAAAAGTTTGAGGTCGGCAAGTCCTCCTTTCCGAGAGCTTACTCTGCTCTGATTGGTCAGATGGCCCAGTCTGTTGTGATTGGTCTACTGCTTACAGCACGTGTCAGAAACAAAATGCCCTATCACCATATCTGAATTTCAGCGCTTGATACACAGTGATACAAACAGTAATGATGGCGTCAGTTTCATTCCAGCATGATTCCTCATCCTTTCGAAGAGCATCAAAGTGGATTCGCAGCGTCTTCTCAACAACATGAGCCAATCTTCCAGGCCTCAGCTACGACTACAGTGTTTGAGGGTCCAAGTAGACGTTGTTCGTCTGGTAGCCAATGAAGACCACAGGCTGGTATTGTGCAAATTTGTTACAAACCTACATAGGTTTGAGAAGGAAGGATGACTGGAATTACTGACAACTTGTTTCAGACAGTTCAGAATCGGTTATTTCTTTTGGGAGACAATAATTGTTTGTGGTGCGCTTTGATTTTTTTGAAACTTTGCAGACCTTTTACATTCACAAACAGCTATATTACAGTGTATAAGGTAATATCTGACAAAGCGTAATAGGGGCACTTTAATGTTTCTTATGTTCAACAAGGCTAAATTATCACAATTTAATATAGCCGTTTTCTAATTTCATGTTTTAACAATATAATTTATTCCTGTGATGCAAAGCTGAATTTTCAGCATCATTACTTCAGTCTTCAGTGTCACATGATCCTTCAGAAATCATTCTAATATGCCGATTTGCTGCTCAAAAAAACATTTATTATTATTATTATAAATGTCCAAAACAGCTGCTTCATATTTTGGGAAACTGATAATTCTTTTTGGATTCTTTGATGAATAAAAAGTTCAAGAGAACAAGAATTTTATGAGAAAGAAATCTTTTGTAACCTTATAAGTTCAGAGTGTCTCTGTGTATTTTGGACGACGAAGAGTAGAAAATAGTGTTTTCCATCAGTATTCTCAACAATTAAACCTTCAAATAACTTTATTACGTCTTCAGGGTTCAAAGACAAATAACCAACAGCCGAGACATAAAGAGTCCCACACAAAGGTCTAAGGAGAACTAGAGTCGATAAAATCTCTACTATGAAACAATGGCAGGTAAACAAAGTAAACTCAAACACTTTGACCCAATAGGAACACACAATTTCCTGCACAGATGTGATTTTAATTAGAAAACTTCCTGTTGCTTCCTGAAATGGCTTGTTAACATAGAATCAGTTTATTTATATACACTACTTTCAAGAAAAACAGCAAAGTATTTGTACTTATTAATATATAAGCTAGTGGCCTCTGGTGCTTCTCATCCGTGCGAGGCCTAGAATGAGACGGTCTAGTGAGTGTGCATGGCTACGTCACACATCTCCCCTCCCGGCACGAAGCTACTATTAAAACTTATTGGAAAAATACTCTATATTAAAAATCTTTATATTAGCTGACTTTCTGGTAATACAATGCAGTGAATGACAGCCGTCTGTGGTCTCCCAGTAACTTATATTAATGGCAGTTTAGTGTTTAGTGATTACTTTACACCTAAACAAGACAACATGTATGCATTAATCTCCGAAAACATTCTTTTTGTCTTACATTTCATAATGAACTCAGACAAGCTCAGTGCCGACTCGTTTTCCATCAGCTCTTTTTCGTGAATTGAAATGGGTGCAAAGGATTGTGGGTAATTGGAGGACATGAAGGATCCACTTGATGCATCCTTCAAAATGAGCTGAATGAAGGACGCAAAACGAAGGCTGCCTTTTAAAGAATTCTTCAAATCGATGAGATGGCCTTCGGTGGCGTTTGATGACGTGGCGGCCGAGGTATGCAGCCTTACTAGGAACCCTTCCCTTCCGTTTGAGAAGCACACAATCATGTCATTCACAAGCACTCTGGGTCACATTGACACCACCTGTGGCTGCACTGCATGCTGGTAGTTGGCATGCCTTGTCTGGTTATCTACATTGTCTGTTAAAGGTGACATTTGTTTGAACAGAAGCAAGGCGACTGCTGGCATATGGTCAGTGTAACCTGAGTATTCAAGCCCAAATGCTGATGCAGGGTTCTCAAGTCTCACGCATTGGCCGTGAGACACACGCAATTCAACCAGTTCACACGCTCACACGCCACACCATGTATTTCTCACGCTGAAAAGGCAATGCCTACCAAGTTGTCCTGCAAGCTTTATATAACGTTGTATACGAGGCGCAGGCACACAAAGTGAAGTTTCCTGCCGCCAGCGCGTCCGTATCTCGGCCAGATTGCGTTCGTTACTAGGCAACATAGATGCGCGAACCACACTGAAGTTGACGGAACATTCTCGGCCATCGCGCGAACGTACGCACACACATTCTCGGCCACCGTACGTTCGTTACTAGGTAACCAACAATATCGCGCGAACACACGTCGTGATGGAGAAGGTAAGTTGGAAGAAAGCTCGTCTAACATTTTTAGGCTAGAACATTTAATATATAGCCAATCGTATACATTATTATTGATGCAGTCAAAAACTCTACAACTACTTTGCAACCAAGCCAGAAGCTTTTGCTAAGGGAAATGTTAGTGGGTATGGGAAGGAATGAAGTTTATTGAAGAATTGAATTTTATTTTAAATTATATATTATACTGTATTAATAGTCTTTCTAGTTACATTAGGCTACATGTATTAAGGCAGAGTGCTCTGGGTATTATTTTATATCCTGTCAAAACATACATTATAATCATTGCCATTGCATTTGTATTTTTCAAAGATGTCAGGGAAAAATGCAAAAAGATTTGTTTTTCCAAACTGTTTGGAGCAATTTGTTATATTTTAGTAATTTTGAAATATAACATTAAAGAGTATATTTGATGTGATGAATTGCTCTTTCATTTATCAGATTTACCAATTATTATAATTTTAATTTGTGCTGGTTAATTATGAACAATGGGTAAAATTGGGGGGCGGGGTGGGCGGGGCTCCTCCCCTAACCGCATGTGATCTCACTCCAAGCTTTTGATAAAACTTGAGAACCCTGGCTGATGGCTGTGAATAGGAAATACATTATTCCACTGACTTGGAAAAAATTGGATTTAACCACACTTGGAAGTGCATTCCAAGAATGTCTGTGACACATTCATTAGCTGAATAATATTCCATGTTCAATTCCTGTTAATCCACATTCCATGACAGCAGTTTGGGGCTACCACACCTTTTGACCAATGAATTCACTTTATATTTCCTGTTGATTTAAACTACTGCTTGTTAAAAACATTTTATAAAGACTACCCTGACAAAGACCAATTTCTTGCTAAATATTGTAGCATAACTATAATTTTTTTTTTTTTTTTTTTTAGATTTCATTAAATTCTTTTCCAGAGAGGTAAAGATTTATTGATGCGTCTGGTATTTTCCATGAACATGGGAACCCTGGCAGTTTTAAAAATATTACAAGCTAAATTATATACTGTTCAAAAGTTATTAAGATTTTTTTGAAAGAAGTCTCTTATTCTCAGCAGGGCTGCATTTATTTGATAAGAAATAAAGAGAAACAGTAATATTGTGAAATATTAGCTTAATTTTAAAACATTGTTTTCTATTTTAATATATTTTCAAATGTAATTTATTCCTGTGATCAAAGCTGAATTTTCAGCATCATTACTCCAGTCTTCAGTGTCACATGATCCTTCAGAAATCATTCTAATATGATGATTTGATGCTCAAGAAACATTTATTATTATTATCATCAAAGTAACTGCTGCCACAAATATTTTTGTGGAAACTGTGGTAAATTTTCAGTTCCTCATAAAGAACAGTGTTTATTATAATGGCTTTATTCTTGCTGAATAATATAAGAATAATAATAATTTAAATAATTAATTTGTGTGTGTGTGTGTATATATATATATATAAAAAATAAATTTAAAAAAACGTACTAACCCCAATCTTTTGACCAACACCGAGACCCTCTCGTGTAAAAAAAGTTTGTTTGTTTGCCACGTCATTCTTACCATGATATCCTCGAACTTCATGTCCAGAAGATCTGCTCCCTGAACGTATGCTTTCCAGTCCTCTGATTCCTCGCCGTCACCCATATTGTCCAAAATCAACTCAAAGAAGATGACTTTCTCAGAAACAGCACTGAATGTGTTATCGAAGCAGAACATGTAGTCTCCCTCTTCTGTTTCCACTCTGACACACAAAAAGCAAAAGCACGGTTAATCGGGCAGTAGAACGCCAAGTGCATATGACTAAACTGTGATTGGAGGTAAAACTTACGTATGAACCCCATCAGATTTTCTGTAGTCGGAGGCTATGACGTGACCGCTGGGCGAGTGCAAGTGGAAGTCCACATCTAGACTGGCTCCATCCAGAACCTACACAAAGACATATATTTCCATTAATGATGAGTCAACAGAAGGATCTGCTGATTCTGGCCTCACAACATGAAGGTTTGAGCTTACCATGGGCAAGTTACAGAATCAATACGCAAGTCTACAGACAGTCACAGTCCTATTGGTACTTTTCCTTCTCCAAAAATGACCTTTAACTCCATTGTGTCACTTTTCCAACTTCTGTATTGTGTCACAACTTCAAGTCCAATTTTCATAACACAGCATACTTTATTGCATTAGATCATGTTTGAAAGAGAATGTTTTGCAACCAGCTATATATATAGCCTATATACATATGTGCTAACTATTAAGGTAAAACAAAACTAATTTAGGTTGGTTAATTTGATTTAATTTAGGTAAAATATTAGCTAGGAAACATTAAATATTTGCATTATTATTATTAGAATAAATATTACATTTGTATTTAAAGTATTCATTATTATTATACTAAAATAGTTTAGAATAATAAAATAAAACCACGTTATTTTGCTGTACAAAAAAGTATATTCACTCACGATTGCTTCAACTGTTTAAATGAATTAAAACCTTTAGTTCTTTTCTTTTAATTTAATTGTCACACAAACTTTAAAGGTTACAATGCTTTAAATTCAAAATGGCTTTCTAAAACATTAAGAAATGTAATTCACTTTTTAAATCTCTTGACTTTAAAGTTACCTTGATATTTTTGTGATACTTTAAGCTGTTCTGTTTTGTTGATGAATACAACAATTACAAATACTCTTTATTATCCTGGAGACCTTTATTTGTCATTGACGCACTATATCATATCGACTCATATCTATTTTACAATACTTTATTGATAGCAGCTACCATAACAAGAATGTGGGCAGTACCCATAATTTACAACGTGTGCAAAATGATCAATGTCAACTTTACTCAAGTTGAATCAGAATGAGATATTCAGAGGTAACTTTAACGTTACCTGGTACTCGATCTCCAGCGAAGCGTCTTTCTTCATACCCTGGAAGAAGCACTCTTTGCGTCCGGCGGGTAGAGTAAAGGTAAAATCACTGTCCAGAGACTGAGAGAAAGCGCTTATCACAGAAACACACAACGATAAACACGCCACACACACTCTCAACAACTCTATACTCCACCGCATCTTCCTACACTTATAATAGTTTAACAACAACCGATGAAAGTTGTTCTTATATAAACTTCAGCAGCTGCTCGAGAGTTGGGACAGCTCACCAAACGAGTTGGGAATTCTGTAACTTGAGGACCCCGCCTCATAAAAGTAGAAATGTTTTTTTTTTTTTAAGTCTAAATCTGTCAGCACAAGTACCTTTTGTAAGAGAAAATTAAAAAAACAATAAAATTAAGGAAACCGTGTATTATGAGAATGTGTTAAATATTTATACACACGTACAACGTCCACTGGCATATTACGCGACGCCATGGAATGTTGCATTATGGGAAATGTAGTTTTCTTTGTAGAATGTAGTTCTGCTCTCCACAGTACTTTCTAGTAAAATGTCATTGTAAGCTTTTATGAAAGTTGAATAAAAAAATAAATGATGGGAGGTTTGACTAATGTCCGCGAACCGGTTCTTTTGAAGAATTAATTTCAAAAAGCCGGGTTTTGTCTTCTTTTTTATTCAGAGTATAATAATTTCCCCCATGCATGATGATAATAACACAATAATTTAATAACAATACAAGTATAAAAAAATACACAAAGACTAAAATTCTAAATAGGTTATATAAAAAAAAAGTTGTGTGAACCTGTTCAACCCAGACCCAACCCTTTTTTTACAGTCTATGGTTCAACCCATTCATAAAAAAGATCCGACTCAATGAACGATTCGTCCACGAATCGGACATCGCTATGTTTAGATTTTAATTATTATTTTATATAAAAATGAAGTGATTCATAGGCAGCATGCCCAACATGTGAAATTGTAAAACTAGAAAAAAAATCCTTAGTGATTTTGCATGTAACATAACAGTTTTTTTTTTTTACATAATATATGTGTGTATATATGTTATTATATTTATATATAATGTGTATAAACACACACACACACACACACATTGTTTCTTATTAAGTTATATTCAACTTTCTATGGATGGCACACAAGCTATTAAAATGTTTAATAAATGTTATTATAAGTTATTAAAACAAAGTTAATGATTTTATATAAATCACACTTTATATAAAAGTGTTTATAAAGTTGAAGAATTGATCCGCCCACACTCACGAGAGATCATTCTCATAAACCCCAAAAGAATTGAACATTTAAGCAGTTAAATATAACAAAGTAGCTCAATTATTCTCCCACACGAGTAAACTAGCACTGTTTTATTATTATTTTTATTATTATCAACAAAGTTTGTACAAACAAACACTTGTGTATACATCATTGACATACAACATAGATACAACAAAGACTTTCACACTAGGGGGCTATTGCTAATTTATATGAAGATATTAAAGCAATTACAAATTTTCAATGTTTTAATTGCTTTTTGCTTCATTGAAAATTGGAGTGACTCAATATAAAGCAAAATCTCTTTCCTGAATGAAGTAAAATAAAAAAATTTACAGGATAATTTACATTTATGAACAGAAAATGTTGCCATTAAAAGAATAAAATTAATTATATAAATCTGACAATGCTTGATTCTACTGTTCTCGCAAATACCAAATAAAATATGTTTCCAAAACAACATAAATTGGTCATCGATGTTTCTTGTGATAAAATCACAGACATTTTGCCAAAATGGTCTTACAAATGGGCAATGCCAAAATAAATGAACCACAGTTTCAGGGCAACTGTCACAAAAGGTACAATTAACATCAATATCACTTTTAAATGTTTTACAGGGTTGGTATATTCTATGTATCAATTTGAATGATACCTCCTTAACTTTGTTTGTTATTAAATATTAATTAGGTATAATCCAAACCTTTTTCCACACAATATCTTCTGTAAAACGAGTGATCTGGCACTGTTTCACATCTCTTATCATTGAGGTGACGCGTCTGATGACAAAACCTCCAACTCAGCTAGACCTCGAGGAGTGGGCGGGGTCAACGCAATACTCGATGCCTATTGGCTGAGGACGGGGCAGCAGGAACACTGAGCGCTGGGCACCGGAGCAACAGCAGCTTATTACGCACATTACGCAGACGGAGCCAGCCGGGCAGACAGCGCGTCTCAACGGGGGGTTCAACACAGAAACTAACCAAAGTGTTTGTTCTGTTCCGCGAACACCCCCCTTTACCTGTATACAGTTGTAAAAAATTAGCATTATTAGCTACTCTTGGCCCCTGCCGTCAGTATTAGAGGAGAGTAGATGAAAAAAGCGAGGATGTTGGTCCCCGCGGGAAGATAATGAAGAAGCTGCGCGTGTTGTTGCTGTGCGCCGTTTTAGTTCTCCTGTGCTGGTGAGTCAAAATATGATCTTTATTGAAGTAGTATTATAATGTCTCTACCTGTAAAGCTGAGCAATAAGAACACCAATACTTTGACAACGACATAATTTACCACTCTGTCTCTCATGATAGCTTCATGCTAGATGCTAACGTTAGTTGAGTAACGTTAGCTTCAGATGTGGGCTGTATTTATAAGCTTTTTGTCATACAAATTTAAATATTACGAGTCAAATACTGTTTTCTCACTCATATATGTGTATGGAGTTGCTTGCACCTCTTACAGAAATGTGCTGTCAGGCTGTTGAAAGTAGCACTGGACCACCAGCTGTCCAGTATGTATGTAAATTGTGGATGTATGTATGGTACACAGTGTACAGAAAACACTCAACGCCCACCGTGCATTTCTAGGCTTCCCACTTATGTATGTGAGCACTTAATAATTTTTGTTATGTTTTATGTATTTTTTTCTTCGGTTTTAAGGCTTTGTTGAACAGCTTACCGGTGGCTTCAGCTGATATTAAGTGTTGAATTCTGCAGCCAGCACTTTTTTAAATAGCCATTGTCATGAATTTCGGTCAGCTTTTGTATGTCAATCTCAGTATGCAGAAACTCCATAGTAGATGTTTTCCACTTAGATTGCATTTCTTTTAAAGTAACAGGCACTGTCCAATTTGCTGGACTGCTAGAGCCTAAATTTGCTCTGACCACAGAAGCAAACTTTTACCTTAGCTTATGATATTTTGAGAATGTTTAATGCATTCAAATATGTGTATGTCTATGATAAACTTAGCTTTTCCTGCGCCCACTATCTCTGCCAGGCTGATGTGGCATCATCCACGCTGGACAGGTAGTGGATTAGGGTTGGTCATATGTTGACTAAGCACACAGGGTGCTGACGCAGGTCACAGTACATACCTGGTGTGAGACACAAAAAACAATTGCACCCTAGTGCCTGCCAGCCATCCTATCAGATTGATGATTTTAATAACGGGCTGATATGCGAACTCGCTATTTTCATAACAGCCGATTACATAGCTTGTCTTACTCTCCTTATGCACAACAGTTGGTGGTGTCTTAGAATTGTGAGCTGTAAAGATGTTCGCTTTTGTTTCCAACAATGTAACCTTTTAAATAGGTCGATTTTTAAAATTGCGAGGTTGGTTGGATGTTTGCCCGTTTCATACCTAATGCCAGTATGAAAAAAAACACACAGTGAGTTGCATAAGAATTGCACCACATGTGCACAAACTCACAGCTTGAATACCTTGTGTTATTGTTAATTGGCACACTTTGCTAGCTTTGCTTACTTCATTATGGTTTATTGATGTTTGCATGGTTTTGAGAAGCGAGCAACCTGGTCCGAGCGTAAAATCAATGTGAAACAAAACGTACACCCATTTTACTTTTGTAATTTGGCATTTTCCCCAAATAGTATATTCAGCAGGAAAAAAGGTTGGCTGGAGATTTATATAATTGATCTGTTTGGGTTGTGAAAAGTGGCCATTACATACAAGAAACATAAGGGCTTTGCAAGCGTCATCTGAAAAAGCTAGTTGATTCAGATTGTGAATACAAACCGTAGTTTCATTTGGAATAACATGCACCGATGGAGCGTGCACAATAGCGGCATTTGGGAAAGTAAGAGTCTTTGGGAAGTTCAAATAATTGCTTCAAATAAGTAATAGATCTGAAAGGCCATGCATGCACAGAAACATGGAAGGTGAATTCAGGGCAGGAGGACCAAAAAAAATCAACATTCATGATTTGAGAATATTTTATGGGAGAGATTATGTATCTTAGAGCCAGGTAATTTGCATGACCTGTCAAACTATCGTTGCGGCACAACAGACCGGCATTCACACAGAACGTGTTTTATAAAGACGCAGGTCAAAAGTTGAATTTCTTTTATCTTGAACGTTGCATAGAACGCTGTGTCATGCGCAAGATGCTGCAAAAGATGCACACCACGAGTGTAACGGTTAAAGACATCCTCCTGTAGCTCGCAACTTTGGCTGGAATCATAGCTAATGAGTCAATATCCAGATACAGTATTATGGCATGTCTAGAGGGGGCCAAATAGTAGAGAACCCATGTGTTGCACTAATGTTGTCATCTTTCAGCCTTTAGGGCGCAGAATAGACCTCTGTCAGAACATTCTGTTTCTATTTTCTTTAATCAAATAGTCGAATTCATGTAAGAAATGGTTCAGCTCTTTATTGCAAAAACTGCACCACAAAGAAACCTTGCAACTCTTTCCTGCAAGACAGTTGGTTTAAATGAATTTCCAGTTCAATCAGATTTGCTGTATTTAAACTGCATATCAGGAGATCTCTCATTTGAATGATCATATTTGCTGTTGTGGGTGAGCAGCACAAGGGTGTCAGTTTCCCACTTTTTGCTCAGGGAATATCTGATCGCAAATGCCTGGGTTTTCAGTGGTCGATGACTTTCAGTGTTTGAGTTTTGTTTTACAGTGAAAAAGTTCAAATCTTCCTAGTGTATACCGAATATTGAAAGGTTAAAACAATCTTTAATATAATTCAGCAGTAATAATTATTTCATAGCTGTTTGTGTTTTTCCCAGATATATTTTGTAAAATGAATGCTGGGTGAACCCCCATAGTTTAGCCAATTGAGCATTGTATAGAATGGTTTTTACTGTAGATCCACACTTTATAATGGGCATCCACTTTTTGTTTTTTTTTGTTTTCCATGTTTCTACAAAGCTAAAGCTAGGGATGCACGATGATATCGGGACAACATCGGTATCGGCCGATAAAAGCTTAAAATGACCATCATCGGCATCGGCCGATATGAATATTTCTGCCGATGAGCCTTGCCGATAGGGTGGCGTGTTTCCTATGCGCACGTCACCGTGAACGAAGCATGAGCGCCAGCAACTTAAACTTCCAACTAGGGGTGTGCGTCTCACGGTTTTTGATCGTGGACGATTAAAATGTCTCCACGATCTGCTTTTGAAGAAAAATCATATTATCGTGCATTCTATCAGTTCAATTCTGGCGCCTTCATCTCAACATACTGTACAACGCGACGTACATTCACATCACATCACATGTAAACGCAGAGGTAGAGTTACACTCACGGGACACCGCAATTCACTAAAGTTCATTATTTGCATGTGCGTCAAAGTCTTGCTAGGTAAACATGTCATTCACGTGCTGATGCGATGGTCTAACATGCGCTTTTCCGAGCGCGTACACGCGACGCTCACAGGAACTAAAAGCCTGTCACAGCGCCTGCATACTGGACTAATCTTTCGAGTCTTATTGCGCTGATACTGTCAAATACACACAAGGTTTACATAAACAAAGTTGGTTATGTCTAAAGTGAAAGCAAACAGAGAAAATCTGCTTGTCAAATGCGTGTGTATTAGACGCGTCGCGTGCAGCTCTTAAAGAGACAGTAATAATATGCTGCCGCTTGTCCTTAAAGAGATACTGCACCCAGAAATAAAAATTCTGTCATTATTTACTCACTCTAATGTTGTTCCAAACCTGTATTCATTTCTTTCTTGTGCTTAAATATACTATATAAGTCACTGGAGTACAGCAACTGTTTGGTTAGCCACATTCTTCCAAATAACTTTTATTTTTACCAGAAGAAAGAGTAAAAAGAGAGTAAATGATGACAATTTAAATTTTTGGGAGAACTATCCCGTTAATGTTAATAAAACAACAAAACACAGAGGAAATCACTCACTGCTCCTGACTGAAAACTTTAATAGAAGCTTTAATAAGCTTTTTTTGCACTTAAAAAAAATACAAATATATCGGTATCGGCATCGGGCAAAATTAGTTTGAAAATATCGGCATATCGAATATCGGCCAAAATCCTATATCGTGCATCCCTAGCTAAAGCACATACACACAATACTTAATTTTGAAAATGGAAAAAAGTTTGCACAGAACCAACTCTGCTAATAAACACACTGTTTTAATGGTTGATCCTGACCTACAGTTTGACTTCAGAAAGAAGACTAATGAGAGTGCTCATTCCTTACATGCGTGTCTCCTGTCCTGCTCTCTTTAGATGCTGTCATGGCACTAAAATAAAACAATCTGAATCTGCTCTCTTTAGTCTTTATGTTGGGTCATCATCAATAATGGTTTTCAATGTTCACTGGAATGACAGCTGATAAACAGTGAGGGTAAAACAAGTCTGAAAGAGAGGGAATAAAGTTAAAATAGTGTGAGAAGCAAGCCATCAACCTGCAGTTATGGTCAGGAGGACATGGAGCCAGAGGCTCTTCTCCACTGCTTACTTTTTCTCTCTTTCTTTTCCTCCTCCTGCCCATTTCCTTCTTTCGTTCTTATAATAGCTGAGAATGTAGCATACTCTTGTGACGTCTTCCTCCACGCCTCCTGCAACAAAACCAACAGGCTCATATGCAAGCCTTCAATTCTTTGTGAGACATAAACAACTGTCACCTTTCTCCGAAATCTTATACTAATAACTACACAGCATCTTGAAAATTCAATGCTCAAAGCTCTCATAAGTTGCATTGGGAAAAATGAAAGACGTCCATGTTAGCTGCGGTGCTTTAAAGGGGATGAATTGAAATAGTCAACTTCTCAGAGGGTTTTACTGTGTAGAATGATCAGCTGTACTAATTGGCTTGTTCATTACCAGTCGTGACCCATCCCTCGAGATATTTGACCTGCTAAGCATGTCCCACTCTAAACTGCCCATCACCCACCTTGAGTCTCCAGGGTGGGCTCCAGTTGCCTTGGAAACGCCACCCTTTGGTCACTGGGTTCATCTTCTCACTTGGCCTTGAGACCATACAAAGCATACTTGTGCTGTTTGTCATGCTGCAAATGAAAAAAAAAAAAGTTGCATTCATAATATCATTATGTAACTTCCTTTTTGAAGACAACTCGGGTGTGATATGAAGCCCGATTTCTTTAAATCGTGTGGTATCTAGTGTGAACTCCTCCCCCCCCCCCCTCCCATATGATTGAACAACTCATCAACCAAATCAGCCCTGAAGCT